CCCACCTCAAGACGTGCGCGGGGAAGGCAACAGTCAAGGTCCATGACATCCGTGGCCACCCACGCGAGTCACGGGCGATAGAGCGATGAACGCGATGCGCTTCAGATTCCCTAGTACATTTGATTCTCTGCCACATTTCAACCTCATCTAAAACTGGACCTAATGATGACATGTATAGCATATGATACGACACGAGTGGGGAAGGCAATAGTCAAGGTCCGTGACATCCATGGCCACCCACTCTAGTCGAGGGTGATGGATCAGGGAAGATGACGTGGACTATTTGATTCCCAGGCACATTGCGATCTAACACTCACTGAATCATCATATGAAACGGCGACGAGAACTGCAATAATGACAATTTGCAAACACAGCAAACCAATTTGCAAATAAACCAAGGCAAATACTTCCACCCCAGCACCATCTCAGTGAGATGCTTTATCTCACGTCTGTGCAGCCAAGGCAAATACTATGACACTTAAAAATAGAGTAACAAGTATCATAGCCATTTAGTTATTAATTGTTTTTAAAGTAAAAACTATATATAAACGACACAGTAACAAGCATCATATCACAACCACATGAGGAAAATTTTCGTTGATAACTTCAATTGCATTCCACAGATGTACAATAACAAAGATCTATAGAAGACTACTGGGTGTACAATAACAAAGACCTATCGAGTACAGGTACTCCCATAGTCAAGTCTAGAGATAGGCAGTGCAAGCTAAGGACGAGGTAGCACCTCGCAAAACTTCCACTAGCATCTCAGTGAGGTGCTTTGCCTTCCCTACTGCACCTCTCATGGCCGAGAGAGAGGCAAGAAGAGGAGGCATGGAAGAGAAGTGCCGCCATCATCGTTGCTGCTCCAGAGGAAGGATGATTGCCAGGGCGCCAGGATGGTGAATCGGCAGTACAAGAAATGCGCAGGGCAACTGTACATATAGACATATCACCTTCCTCGTGGCCTTGCACTCATTGGAGCCATCATAAGAGCCACCAATGGCATTCCAGCAGCCCCAACGAAGCCCAATAATGCCAAACCAGGGATACCAAAGTGCATTCAGTACCCCTTGGCTTGCCCAAATAAGCGAGCCTCCATAATCGCAAAACTTCCACTAGCACCTAGATCGAACAACCCCCGCTGCGCCTAGATGCCAGTAGTACCCAATCTTGAAGGCCTTCTCCCAACGCCGCTGCTGCAGCCGAAGGAGTTGGAGAAGGAGCGTCATGGCGATGAAGAAAATATAGATAGTTGGCTCAAGAGCTTTGTTCTATATCTATATATATCTATCTATATCTAAGGAGGAAGGAGTGTGTGGATTGCCAAGAAGCGCATCCAGCTTTGGCTTAAATAGGCCAACCTTGAAGATGGAGAAGCAGAGAGGAGCAGTTAATATGCATCAGGGAAGATGAGGCATAGAGTAATGGTGATGCAACTGTGTTGTGGGTAGCTGGGAAATGCAAAATAACTCACACTAACTTTACTACTGCTGGCACACCAAACGGTCATGTAGGGCCGCGGCCATAACGCCTATCCTAGTCGGCTCGGCTTTTCATACAACGGAGAAAATATCACTGTCGCATCTATTGTTAACCCGTGGGTGGTAGAAGTTTCAACTGCATGTTTCCTTCCTTAGGAGGCCTCGCTATCGGTCCAACTGGCGGTGGAAGTATAACACCGTCGTTTGTATCGCTACGGTAGTGAAAGTGGCGACAGTGATAAATCAATATGTAGTAGTGAACTAAAGCAAATGTAAGAAAAAATAAAACTTACCTTGATGGGAGAGGGAACCTCCCCCAAGCTTGACTCTTTCTCACAGTCCGGGTGGTGATAGGTAGACTTCTTGTTGCACCCAAAACATCATCCATTGATGCACGTTCTCTTGTTGGATGACCAGAAGAAGTTGATTATTGTTCTGTTCGACACCGCCTCGAATGACCCCTTGTTCTACGCGCATCTCACCATTTGGTTCATGTCTTGCTGCAAGCCCTAATACTCTCTCTATCTCGTGAGGACGAGAAGGAAAATTGTGCACTTTGGGCACGTGATGGTGGTGGCTAGCGTCTTCCGCTTGAGCTTGAAATCTGCATGGTGCTCGATGTCTCCTCCTCCTCATTGTCGTCATCATCAACATCTTGTGATGTGCCACCTTGTTCGAATTGTGTGGCCTGTGTCATGCTTCGTGTTACCATCGCCCTATGCTTGTACCTACAAAGCTCCTACGTCCAACTTCTTGGTCCAAATCAAAGGTTAATTAGCGGACCTTATACAGGTGGAGTACTTCTCTCACAAGGGAGCGGGACTCTAGCTGCATGGTCGCGATAATTTATGATCACAAAGTTATTTGGGCCTCTTTTAGCATATGAGCTTGTAAAAAGTATTCTTTTGTAATCAAGCTTCGCGATGTGGATATATATTGTACAGAGCGATTAAGCAAGCAAAAAAAGTTGGCAAGTCCAGTTATTATTGATGTAAACTCAATAGGACCGATTCTTTCAGCACCATCTTGCCAATGAGCCACCATGGCCTTGACAGGTGAGACACGAATTTTATGAACCATAGCATAAAGCAATCTTAAATCATCATTTCTTAGAATTCTTACATCATCACAAAGAAAAAGAGTTACTCCTATCCATCGATGAAGGAAACGCAAGGTAGGATTTTGGATCTCATTAGTTCTGGGATATTCACATTCACGAAGACCGGTGATGGCTTCCCAAATTAAAACTCTAATATATTGAACCGTCAGGTGGCAAGTTCTAGATCTAGAGAACAATTTGCAGCAAAATCAAGGGCACCACTAAATTGGTTCCATGTAATTTTATACTCCTGATTGAACATGCGGAAATAGACTTCATCATGAGAGGTTTGTAAAGTGCTTAGAAATTCAAGCATGAGAAGTCTAATTCCTAGATCATTAGCAAGATGCTGCAAAAATTGCCACCCAACAGCGATAAAGACATAATCAAATTCCACATCCATACCTATTTTTGTGAGTAGACCTTGGTCAAATACATTGGTGTGCTCAAAGATGCGACCCGGGCTGGAGATGAACGTTTGGAACTCTTATTGATTGGACAAGAGCCCAGTCTTGGGATCCATCACCCTTGTCGAAGGTTGTTGGTATTTCTAATGCTCAAGTATAATATTCCATAAGCACACAGAATACCGTTGTAGCATTTTCACCGAGGAGTATTTCAAAGTATTGTTATTTATTTAATCCCAACGGAAAGCAGTAGCCAAGAATGATAATAAATGATAATTAGCAAGATATAGCTAAGTGGGAGGACAAGAGAGAAAATGATTCCTATGTTGTAACTCTACTTCCGTAGTTCTATCTTAATCACACAATTGCAACACATAGATTGAGTCCACACAACAAGTATACTCAGTGGTAGGTGAGACAATAGGAGATGTAACTCCTATCTGAAGCAGCTAACTTTTTTCGGGGGCCTTACCTTTTAAGAATTTGCCGATAAACACGTGGTGGAGTACAAAAGCTAGATAACACTATCACCACTTGTTAGCTACCACAAACAATCCGTGCGATTAATGGTAACCAAAGGCAAGATAATGTATAAGCACCACGCTTACACCTTCTCTCACTATTCTAATTGTGTACACATAGGCCAATTAGAGCACCTAATGAAAGACAATGATCGTAATATAGGTGTGGGCTTGGATCACAATCTAATATGTAGCAATTATATGCTAAGTTAAGCAACAACAACAATATAACAAGTATAAAGTTGCACAAAGTAAATGCTAGGTAAAGTAGAGAAAGAATATAAGTATATTGAATAAATTAAAAGTCTTTTACTAAAAAGAAAATTACAAGAGCTATACTAGACTCTCTAGAAGACTCTAGAAACCCGAGCAAAATTCATTACTCAACTTAACTCCCACACTACTAAGATAGAACGGATCTATGCTACTCTTCACTTGGAGCTTGAAGGCATGAATGAAGAGGGGGTTGTGAGCCTCTTTTTATAGATGGATGGAGATGGACCCATGGATCCATGTGCTTCACAACATAGCCACTTGATCAACTGTCTTGAAATGAAGGGTTGAGATGTTCCACACTTGTGCTTGTTTGCATGAGTGCATGCACCAAGGCGGTGGAGGGTTGACAATAGGGGATTGGACGACCCCCTCTCTATCATGTGGGCCCATCCTCTCTAGTGGGGTGGGTCTCTGGTTGGTGTAGAGTGGTTATGTGTTGATCTTTTCACCATGGCACGTCGGTTTGAAAAAGTGTGGGCCATCCAATCCATGTGACTTGATCGGTTTAGTTGTTCTCTCTTCTAAATCTGGTGTAGTAAGAGCAAGGTTTAACTCTATTTGAGTTGTTCATACGATTAATTATCTATTTACTATATGAGCTTAAATGAATAAGTAGTAAAGCATAACATGCCGTATTTTTAACTCAGGCCATGTCTTTTGCAAACTTCACAAATGACTATTAATCTTTCTTTGTATCCACCAAATATTTATGTTGAAATAAAATCTCTGAGTACAATCATACTCATGCTACTTCCGTTTAGTTTTTACAGGTGCTGTAGACTTGGTGATCGCCCATGTCATGCTTGGGTGAAGTCAATAGCTTAGCGAAAGATGGAATAGGTGTTCCGCGAAAGCTGCTGTTACTCTGATGATGAAGTGACTAATCGTGGGAATAAAATGGAAAGAACATTTGTTTTATAGTGGTGTTGAGGCGAATCGGAGGTTATTCGCTTCTTTGCCAATATCGATCGAGTTTAAGGGCAAAAATGTCAAAGCAAGTTTAATTTATAACAAAATGGTTTAAATGAAATAAAATGAAAAGAACATTTGTTTTATAGTGGTGTTGAGGAGAATCGGAGGTTATTCACTTGTTCGGACCAAGACGATGAACTTCGAATTTTCTCAATTTTCACGCGAGCACCTGTCCTTTGCAGCACCGTCCGATCGGATATTTTTCTCGGTTCTACTACTCCTTTCTTTGTCGCCTTCATCCATGGTCTCGCTGCTCCCTCGCGCGCCCTCCCTCGCCTTCCTCGCTAAGTCTGCCTGCTCCTCGCAGCGGCCACCTGTGCCCTCCATGTTGTCGTCCTCCACCGCCGCTTCCGTGGCCGCCAGGTCAGAGGCGGCAGCCGCGCCGAGGAAGCTGCCCGTGCTGCTGTTCGACGTCATAGACACCTAGCCTGATCGCTGGGGCTGGGCTGGCTGGGCTGGCTGGCCAGCCCCCTCACATGGGTACTGTTCACACGAACCAGCCAGCAGTACTTCTCTCTCACATAAACGAACCAGCAACGATACGAACCAGCCAACTGAACAGGCTGGCCCTTGTCCGGGACCTGTTCTACCACCACATCCCCGCCTTCTTTCAGTTCCGTACATGCCCCCGGCTCTCCTAGTTTACTTAATTTGGGCTGTGTCTGTCGGGTGGGGTGGGTTAAGGTGTGCCGCTCAGGTGTTCGACGGAATGCATGTTAAGTTCTATAACAGAGTAGTATATTGTAAGGTGTTGTAGGTAGTGTTTTTGTCTGTGGTGTTTTTTTTTTCTCGAAAACGCAGGAGAGCTGCGCTTCATTATATTAAGAAGAAAAAGGGGGTAAAGAAACCCATAGAACAACACACACCCACACACCCTTATCTTTAACTCATAAGATACATTTGCGCCGGTAAAGAAAGAAAAAGCGATCCTGCACCTACAACAAATCAACTAACAACTTGGGCAGGGGCAGTCAAGTGAGATAGCCCACGAGCCCCTGCCAATGTCCACCGTCGAAGCTCATCACCAACCAACTTCAAGGTTTCAGCTATGTTAGGAATTGCTCCATCAAAGACGCAGCTGTTGCGATGATTCCAAATTATCCATGCTCCCAGAAATATCAGCGAGTTCAAACCTTTTTGCGTTAAACCAGAAGTTGCTGCACTTGCTTTTTCCCACCAATCATCGAATGAATTGTCAGATGGATGTGGAGCTAGAGAGTGGAGACCGACCTGCCTCAAGCTAGAGAATGAATCATCGAATGTTTTTGTCTGTGGTGTTGTGGTGGATTGTATTCGAGAACGATTTGTTAGATGGAGAATTTGCGAACTGTGTTAGTGCTAGCTGAAAGGATTGGTTCGGTGTAATGTTACAAAATCTAACATGAAGTGGTTGATCCGTATGATATTCTGTAAATTTATTGATGAAATAGCATGGCTGAAATGTGATTAGGTGTTACCAACCATTTTGTTACCTTTTGTTCTGTACCCGTCCTTTTGCTTTATTACGCCAGTAAACTGTAGTTCAGACACTTGTCCAGTGCCCGTGTGCATCTGTGCTGATGTTTGTGATTATTGCATTACATTCTCAGCTGTCTATCTCTGTTTTTTTGCAGAATGTCCATGAAGGAACTACTAGAAAGCAAGCATCCAACGGCTTGGTCAGAATTTGAGAAAGGACTGATCGATGAGGTAAGTTCTGGATGCTTGACTTATTCCTCAGATATATGATGTGTAGTATTTGTATGTGTGGTATGTGTGCTATTGGTGTATGCTTGATGTTCATTTGATCTTGCATTATCTGGTTTTAACTAGGTCATGCGTGTCATTTTTTTTCTTTGTTCATAGGAATACATGCTGGACTAATCCTGCCTGAAATGCCTTATGTTTTCATACTCACTGTTCTTGCTTCCTACATCCAGAGATCCATTATTTAGAACACTGTAAAGAATAATTAAGATCATAGTAAAGAAAAAAAACTCAACCTGCGATGGGTAAGACAGCCCCGCCCCTAGGCATTGCATTAAGAAGAAGACCTTCTCACGTAGGTCAAGAAAACCCCCGAACCCCTATCCCGCCCATACATAGCGGCTCCGTAGCCCATATGAGAACGACCACCGGGGCTGGGCCTTAGACCTGTGCTTTGGCGTGGGACAGACGAGGGAATTTTTCTAACCCGAAATTTGCTCCCACGAGGAGTCAAACTTAGGACCTGAGGAGTGCTAGCCACCTAACCAACTCAGCTAGAGACCCTTTCGCAGAGTTTACGTAAAGAAAGGTAAAGTTTACAGATCCAAACTACTTCACTAATGATAAATAAACTATGTACATTAGGAAAGGAGAAAAAAATGAAAATGCTTTTTGCATCAACAATTTTGATAGAGGGTTGTGGTATGTGATGTGGATTTAGGATTATTGGCTGAACTGATGATTTGAGCTGTAGCATTCAGATGTCAAATATTAGTATGGTTTTTCCAAAGAACTTTTATACACTTTTTTAATTTAGTTAGAGTGAAAATATCATTTTTACATTGTAACAGTGAAACTGCTTATCTGTTTTCTTTACACCTGCAGTGTCAATAATTTAAAAAAGATAATGGAAACAACAGAATATCTTTTGTTTTCAACATTTTAACCTTCTGTGCTCTCTGTGTACCTCAAATCGTGACCAAAAGATATGCAAAAGTGTGCTACATACAAATTTTCGGACACCATAAAACTGGGAGATCATATTTTTTGTCATTGTATTTGTTGCTTTCAGAATGAGCTGACCAAAAAGTTCTTCAATGATGGCAGATCGTTTGATTTGGAAGGTGAGAAGGTCAGAGTAGAAATGGCACTGTGGTGTCCCCTTCCAGTAGACTGCTTCCGATAAAAAATGAACTAGATTTTTCCTAAAAACATGTTTTTTGTTCTTATTTTACTGACCTAAAAGAAGTTGGTAGTTGTAATCCATTTTAATGCCTTGCAGGTCTAAAAGAGTGCATGGTGAGAGCATATGAATACATTGATGGCGTCGAAGATATTCTTTGCCGTTTGAAGAAAAATAATTATGAAATGCATGCTTTTACAAACTATCCAGTATGGTGAGTGTTAGCTCCTGTTGGCATGTTTGTTCATCCTGCATGATCCTGAGTATGTTTTGTAGGTACCAATTAATTGAGGATAAGCTAAAGCTCTCAAAGTATTTGTCTTGGACATTTTGTTCTTGTAAAACTGGTAATGCTCTGTATCTTTGTTCTCCTATATAAAGTACAAATTTGTTTCCTGAGATGCATTTTCAAATAATCAGTAACTTCTGCGTGCTGTTTCCATAGTTGTAGGGACCAATTAATTGTCTAGTTCGACAGTTTCAGTTTTAACATTTCAAAGCAAGTCCTAAAATCTGTAAGGTAATTTTTTTACCCTGCCGTGAAAGTGTAACTACTCAGATTTGTGCCATACATAGCCTCATATAGGCATAATATCCAAGTCATGTTACAGATTAATATATTCAATAAAATAAATTCCGTAACCAAATATCACAAAATTTATCTTATTATCTAGATAAACCATCTTTGTCCACATCCACATAAAGGAATCCTAATTATCATCATTTTACTATTAGAGGTGTTTGTTTCTCTAGAATCTAATGTAGGGCTAAACTCACTTAATCTTGATCCCTTATGATGGAGAATCTAAAGCACTACTTTCTTTCTGCAAAAGAAAACAAGGATGGGAAAATAATTCTCAGCAAGCAAACAACAATGTGTGTTTGTACTGTATTCTGAAATAATTTTAGTTAAATAATCAACCTTTTTTTTTACAACACAGGAGGGGAAACCCCTAGTGATCTAATTTTATATTTTAAATTGTATAGAAAAACTGCCCAAAACTATGCACAAAAAAGAGAGGGTGGGAGTTGTTAGAAATGCAACTCAGATGTATTGGCATGGCCAAAGGGCTGGATATGAAGTTGTGCAAACTGCAGATAGGACCCTACACAAGTGACTAAATACATATGCAGTATTTACTATATACATCTACCCCCTGCAAACTCATGGTAGATTAACAATGAGTTTGGAGAGCAAATAGCTATATTACGTGTTAGTATATGCCTTTGTGAAAAACATCTGCTAACTGAACCTCAGAAGCCACATGGTGGAGTCACAACTTGATCATGCACTTGCGATCTCTTATACGAAGATCGACTCCAATGTGTTTGGTGGTTCATGCTGCATAGGATCCCTGGCAATACTGATTGTACTATCAGAGGAGAGTCAAAGGAGAGAGGAATTCGTCCAGTAATCAGTACATCAAAATCATCAAGCAGCCATCATAGCCAAGTCACCTCGACACACACAGTTGCCATAGCTCGCAACTCAGCCTCAACACTTGAATGGAGAAACTGCAGTCTGCCTTTTGGTCTTCCAGGCAATCAAGGAGCCAAGAAAGATGTAATAAGCCAAGAGAGAGAGACGATCAGAGTAATCACTAGCCCAAGTAGCATCAAGAGTACAAGTGGCCTTAGCATAGGCCTCCTCACGCAGCCAAGTCTCATAGACAACAAGATCACACTGATAGGCTTCCATCTCAACCTCAAAAGCCTCCAACAGGGCAGTCTTCATGGCATCGTCATGTTCGGCGGGATACGAGGGTGGTGGTGGTGGGTGAGGCGCTCGCGCCAGGGGTGTTGGCAGGGGGGAGAGTTGGACATAGCAGAATTTTGCACCCGTGAGATAGCCCCACAGCTGCTGCCCACCCATATGGACCTCCATGTGAAGAAAAAACTACCCCATGTTACACCCTTGGCCACCGGTGATGGCCGTAAGGATGGCAACGGGGCAGGTCAGGGCCGGGTGGAGCATTCGTGGACTCACACCCGAAACCCGAGTCTAAAACCCGCCCCGAACCCGAAATTACTTACGGGTGAAAAATTAGCCCCGGCCGCGAACCCGACGGGGACCCGCGAGTCGTCTTCCTCCTTGCGACTCAGGCCGCGCCCCTACCTTGGAATCGATAGTCCTCTGATGGGATAAGTCTCTGTGTTAGCTGGTCTTTGTGGGGCTGCAGGATATGGTCCTTGTGACTGCGGTGGTCTTGCTGCCCATCAAGGATAGCATCCTTGACTGGCTAGGACAGCATCTTAGCATCTAGGACAGCATCTGTTTTAGGATAGCATGTTTTTATTTGTAAAGGCAACAAGTGAGGGGCTATTGCAGCTGCTATCCCCAAGGGTGGCTGGACAAAGACTTTCTCTGTATGCTGATGATGTTGCCATATTTATTAAGCCAATTGAAGAGGAGTTGCTGGTCACTAGAGATATTCTCAAGGTATTTGGTGACGCTTCAGGGTTGCATACAAATATTCAGAAAAGTAACATCATCCCCATCGGTTCTGCAGGAGAGTCCTTGACAGCTATTCATGATATTCTGCCATGTACTATCTCGGTGTTCCCATGCAAGTATTTGGGCTTACCACTGTCAAACAAAAAGCTTCTTAAGAGGGACCTTATGCCATGGATTGAGAAAATAGTGATAAACTCCCATGCTTTGGGCGGCTCTCTCATGAATAGGGCTGGTCGTGCCACATAGTCCGGTGTGTTCTTTCTCGCCATGCCTATTCATTTGTTAATTACCATCGTCGTCCCAAATGGTTCATCAAGATAGTAGACAAAATCGAAAGGGCTTCTTATGGCAAGGAAAGGATAAGGCTAATGGAGGTTGTTGTCTGGTGGCTTGGGAGAAGGTCATGAGACCATTGGATCTTGGTGGCTTGGGCATACCCAACTTGGAGGTGATGGCACTGGCTTTATAAATCGTGGCAATGGTTTAAAAAGACTAAAGCTGATCGTCCATGGTCTGATCTCGAACTCGCCTTCGCACTCTAACTAGCTAGCCCTTTTTGCCATTGCAGGTCATGATCGAGGTTGGGAATGGTCGTAATACTCTTTTCTCGGACTGATCGGTGGCTTCACGGGTGTTCGATTGAAAATCTTGCGCCATCCGGCTATGCTTGTGTTTCTCCTAGAATTCGCAATAGCCGGATTGTGGTCTGCAGCTCTCACCAATGTGCAATGGCCAAGAGATATTCAAGGAGGCCTTTCTGGACTGGTATTAGAGAATTCTTGCAGCTATGGGATTGTCTCTTGGGATTTACCTTAATCCGACCAAGAGGATCGTCACACATGGAGGCTAGATTCAAGTGGTTGCTACTTTTCCAAATCGCCCTATAAAGCATTTTTTTCGTGGTCTGCCGTGACCTTTGAACCTTGGCATCGGTTATGGAAGTCCTGGGCCCCAAGCAAATGCAAAATGTTTATGTGGTTGGCAATCCGTAATAGATGTTGGACGGCAGAGACAGGCTCGCTAAGAGGGCCTCTCTCATCCGGATAAATGCCCTATGCGATCAAGAAGATGAGACAATACAACATCTGTTAACATCTTGTGTGGTGGCAAGACAAGTTTGGTTTAGATTATTTTCTATTTTGAACCTAGCAGATTGTGTCCCCACCATAACGAACTAAGCTTTGCTTGATTGGTGGCGCAAGACTATTAACAGTTAACAAGGAGCACAGAAAGGAGTGAATTCTCTAATTATTCTTGGGGCTGGATTATTTGGAAACATAGAAATGCATGTGTTTTTGAGGGGCCTCACCTTGATTAACTTGATTTGGAGTGAGTTGAAGAATGAGCACACCTTTGGTGTTTGGTCAGTCTGCGAAAAAGCTAGAAGGGCTAGGTTTGTTCGCACTAGGTCCTTCTAGTTAAGGTCGTGTCAGGTTTGTTTTTATTGGTCTTATTCTTGTGTATGTGTAATCGCCTCATTCATATTTGGTCCCTGTATGAGTGAGGATCCTGTTGGGGACCCCCCATTTTTTCATTCTCTATAATACAATGAAACGCAGCTCTCCTACGTTTTCAAAAAAAAGACAGCATGTTAGCATCTAGCATCTTGGCATATGCTTGGCTGGCTAGTAGCCTATAAATATGTATCCCCAACCTCTCAGGTGGGCATGGCATTTGTATGAAAAATAAACCAGAAAATTGTCCCAAATCCTAGTGTCATCCTCTCTCGATGAGAGTAAAAATTCTGCTACTACCAAAAGTAAGAATTCAGCGACTAACAACTGGTATTGGAGCCGTACTATCCTGTAGCTTGAGCATCTCCTGCTCATCTCCTTTCCCAGCCTCGCAATAGCCCCAACTGAGAGCAGCAGCAGCTCCGGCCGCTCCTGCTCACTCCTCTCCCTCTGCGCAGATGAGCAGCAACTCGTCTGAAGCAGCCCTCTCCCAACGTAGCAGCCCCCGGTAGCACGTCATGTCCGCAGGACAGTCTCAGCGCTCGATCGCCTCGAGCACGCGGCGTCGGTAGGAGGCCAAACTTGCCGCGGCAGAGGAACGCGAGCGAGCGGCGGCAGAGACCGCTGCGGCGGCGGCAAGGGTGTCGAGGCTGGCAGCAGCCAGAGCAGAGGCGGAAGCGGCGGCGGTAGCGGATGCAGCGTGTGCGGTGGCAGCGGAGGTCGAGGTTCTACGCGGTAGCATCAGCAGCTCCATTTCTGCTGATGACAGCGCCGACGCGGACCTCGAGCTGCTAGGGAGGGAGGCAGCGCGGGCAGCGCAATGGGCAGCCACGCACGTCCATGAGCGCGGCGACAGCCCAGACAGGCGCGGACGCGCCGACGGCGCTCCTGGAGGAGGCGCGCACGGTGGTGGTGCTCCTGGAGGAGGCGCGCACGGCAACGGTGGCGGACGGGTCGATGGAGAGCGCGGCCTTCACAGGCAGCGTGGCTCTCTCTCCCCGGATTGGTACCATGGTTACCACGGGCTCAAGGCTATTGTCAGGGACATCGGCCCCAACGGTGGGTGGCCTACCCTCACTAAGACCAACTATGTCGAGTGGACTGCGGTGATGAGGGTAAAGCTCTAGGTGCGGCACATGTGGGAGGCAGTCTGGTATGGCGACATCGACTACGACTAGGATCGACGGGCGCTGGATGCCCTCATCGCTACAGTCCCGTCCGAGATGCAGTTCTCGCTTACCAACAAGCGGACTGCCAAGGAGGCTTGGGATGCCATTGCTGCGGCACGCATCGGCAGCGACCGCGCCCGCAAGTCCACACTGCAGGCACTTTGCAAGGAGTGGAAGAACCTAGCCTTCAAGCCAGGTGAGGATGTTGATGAATTTGCTCTCCATCTCAACACTCTGTTGTAGAAGATGGTGTAGTTCTGCGATGACAC